TTCCTGTCCTTCCAGAAGGAGCCCCACGGCAAGGTCGACCTCGGCTACCGCCGCGTCATCGCCACGACGCTCGACGAGAACGAGTGCAAGGCCGTGCCGCCGTTCAAGCGTGTGTACTAAAGTGGAACGCGCGCGGTCGCGTCCGAATGGGTCGGCAAGGAAGCACGAAAGGCTGTTGAGACACAGGCTAAGAAATCCCCGACCCTGTTAGGGGGGCCATTCTTGATACCACGAGAGCAAGAGAGAGAGAGAGAAAGCAGCGGATGAGAGAAAGAAGAGGACGCGTGCAAGAGAAGGACGTAACGTGGCTGTCGTGGTGGGCCTGGGCTGCCGGCGGGGCACGTGTACCTTAGGTTTTTCGCATTGGGTTTGGTGTTGAAGTGTACAAGCAAGAGAATCAAGGTTTTTAGACGTAATGTGGTTTCACTCCAAGGCGACGTGTGATCTTTTTTTTTTGGCCATGTCGACGCGTAAGGTGTTCATATTGATGTCCGAAGATGGATTCCTGTCACGAGCCTCTCGTCAGCAGCAACATGTCTTGTCCTATTGGTTGTCTTGCTGGATTCAGTCTATATGACGGAGTTTGAGCCGCGACAGAACTCACCGGGACCTCAAAAGCAGGAGCTCATTCAAATCTACCGACTTGTTTCTCCTGATATTGCGTCTACTACTCAATCGCCTTTCTACTGTTATTTTTCGACATACATGTCTAGTGAGCGTGTCACGAACGCATTTACGAGCTCGTTTGTAGAATGTCTGTTTGGTGTTGCGACCGGATAGCCTGGATATAATTCCGCATTACTCATTCAGCCCTCCCGAGTCTATTGCCTGTTCGCCGCTCACTCGGCCAGCGTCTCCCTCAGCATGACCAGGAAGTTCTCCTTCAGCTTGAGCACTTCCGTCACATGCGGCTTCGTCGGCTCGCCGGCGCTGCGTCGCAGCCTGTCCCGCCTCTTCGCCCGACGCTGGCGTTCTGCTGCTATAGGGTCAAGCTGATCCTCCTGTTCCGCATCCTCTTCGTCCTCCGTGTCGTCGTCGTACGCCATGTCCTCAAGATCCATCTGGTCGAGCCCAAAGTCAGAAGATTTGAAGGCGCCTCCGGGGATGAGGTCCGCCTGGCCCTGACCTCCGCCCTCGGCCGCCATCTTCTGTCGCGTCTTATCGTGGTGCCACTTCTTCCTGGCCTCCTGCCACGCGATGAGCTCGTTGACCTCTTGAATGACCTTCTCCTTGTCAATCACGCCAGCGGAGACGCCGCCCTCGAATAGCGCATTGATGTTCAGAGTTCCGTTCTTGGGTCCAGTTCGGAGGAATTCCAGAATGCCCTCGATCCAGCCCATGAGCTGGTCAAACAGGCCGTTGTCATGCGTATGGACCTCATGAACAAACTTGTAAAAGTTGTGCTCGTGGCGTGCACAGAGGTCGATGAAGCCCTGGACCGTTTGGTTGGGATCAGCCGACGCGTCCTGCTCCTGGCACTTTTCAACCACCTGTAAATCTTGTCAGCATCGCAACTCGACGTTACACCGGAGAATGGTTGTCACCTGTATCATGTCATCGATGAATACAGCAAAGTCCGTCACACTTGAGTACACATTAGCAGACTGTAGACTCTGACCAGCGGCTCGTAAAAGATGGTGAACAGGTCCCTGAACAGTTGAAGAGTGACGGGCTCTTCGATGGAGC